GCCAGGCTCGAAAAGCAGCCGAGCGAAGGCAGAGAACGAGGAACGCAGTCGCCAGCGCAGCTCCGCGAGGAGAAGCAGTTCGATGTGGTTTTCAGTGACCTCCTGAATTCCCTTGACTCTGAGGAGCATTCCGCCCCCGACGAAGCTCGGAGCGAGGCCAGTTTTGACTAACTACCCCGAGGGTCTTGAAGAGGACCCCGACGAGGTAGGGTACGAAGTAGGTCATGTATCCGAGGAGGATCCGTGGGCCCACGGGTCTGAGTTTAAACTTGTTGTGCATGAGGACGTAGGTGGAGGGCTGTCCACTAAATCCGGCGAGCCTCGAGGTTGCAATAGCGCCCCCGGTGCCTTGGGCAAGGTTCCCCAAGAGCCCCATATTGCCCAGCCTCAGCAAAGCCACGACTTGATTATGCCCCAAGCACCCCCCCCCCCCCCCAGCGTCTAAGTGCAGCAATGTTTCAGACCCCGACGGTTCACCCACCCCTTCTCCTCCCCCTCCGCCTCCCCTCGCCCCGAATTGCGAAGCCGAGTTTTATGTCCCCGAGGCCACGTGGTTAGAGAGCAAGAGGCAGGTAGGTTTCACCCCAGCGGGTGATATTCCCCCTTCCCCCCCCGTTTCTCCGCTCTGTGGCATCTTGGCTCAATCCACCTTCAGCCGTGCAGGCCATCTCTTCCTTGTGCGCGTCCTGGGTGATCGCAGCTGAACTCGCCATTCGCGCGCGTCGCGGTCTACAGGGCTCTCCTGGGATTGCTCGTCGCAATGGCCCCAGGTCCCGCATCGATGTGGTCCATCAGCGGGAGAGGCAACGACTTACGCCTGATCGAGATTTTCTCTCATGCTGGTGGACTCGGCTACGTGCCTTGCTGGATAGTCTGGCTCGGCACTATAAATGAGGCAGCGGTCGTCGTCAACGTCAACGCCTGCTGGAATCCCTCGGCAGGCATGTGGGCGATCGCCCAGAGAAAGTACACACGTTACTTCGCAATAAGGAACCTAGCTGGCGGAAGTGGCAGCAAGTCTTCAGGCACGTCTTGGACGAGACAGGGGTCGATCAGCAGCAGCTTCAGTTGTATGCGGACCTATCCCGTAAGATCTCAGCCAGAGCTCAGAGACGGGCAGTCGCCCGCGCCATGAAGGAGTTCGAATCTTGGATGGAGACAGAAGCTGCCATCGGCAAGCTTCATCGCAACATACGGCAGGAACCTGCAGTTCGTCGCGAGCTGGAGGTCGAGGGGGGGGCCCTTTACCAGCCACTAGACATCGCGGGCCACAAGGCCGAGCGCTGGAGACAGCTGTGGACGCAGTCTATGCCTGACGCAGGCTTTTCGGAAGGCTCGTGTGCGTGCTGATCTCGAGCCTCTCCCAGACATCTCTGGAGAGGACATCCGACGCGCGGCGCGGTCCATGGCCCCAGGGGCTGGCCAAGGAGTTGATCGAATGCCCCCAGTGGACTTCGAGCGACTCCCCCTCGCCGATTTGGACGAGCTGGCGCACCTCTACATGGCCATCGAGTCGGAGATCGCCTGGCCCCATCAGATCATGATGACCTTGGGGGGGCTCCTCCCCAAGAAGACGCAGGGAGATAGGATCATCGGGCTGCTCTTCATGTTCAGCAGAATCTGGAGCCTCGTGCGCGAGCCCGAGGTCAGGCGGTGGTCAGAGGCGTCAGCGCCTCACTGGGACGCGGCCGTGCGAGGCAACGCTGCCTTGCGCGAAGCGTTCATGCGGACTCTCGGGGAGGAGGTCGGACACCAGCTCGGCGTCCCCCCGGGCGCAGGGATGCTCGACATCGACGGCTTCCACGACAACGTGCTGCGGGAGATCCTGGTGCAGAAGGGTTTGGCTCTCGGTTTTCCAGCAGCCATCCTGCGCTTGGAGGTGCTTCAGTGCGCCGCGCCGGGGGCTCTGGGGCAGAGAAGCTCGTGGGCACTCCCGATTGAGCCCACTCAGTCGATTGTCCAAGGGCTGTGCAGCGGCACGAGATTTGGTCGCATCATGGTGTAGTTTGTTCTGGATAGGATATGTTCGGCTCATCCTCGGATGGGTCGCCGCATCTGGGTGGGTGATCTGGCCCAACGTGCAGTCGGATCTCGCGCTCAGGTACGGCAAGAGCTTATCACCAGTCTGAAGGAGACGTGTCAAGGTCTAGCCTTGATGAAGTTGCGCGTTGCCAGTAAGAGTATCGTTATGTGTTCTCACCATCCCGACGCGGTCAAGGTCGCCAGGGCCCTCCGTCTTGCAGGATTTCACGTTCGCGCGGGGCGTTCGGCAGGATACTTGGGTTCGGACCTTGGCCGCGGCAGGCGGCACGTTCGCACTGCGCGGCGGAAGAGAGACGCCAAGCACAAGACCATGAACACTAGAGTGCGACGCCTTGCTCAGGCAGGGCGCAGGCATGCAGTATCTTCCAGGCTTGAGCGCTTAGGGGCTCAGGCGGCAGGGGCGTGCGGCTTCCAGAGTCATGGATTCTTCGGGGTACACGTGCAACAATATAGGCAGCGCCTGGGGGCTGCCATCTCTGCGCCCTCCCGAGGGCGCTGCCTCGCGACCTTGCTCGCGATCAAGGCGCCCGAGGATCCAGCGCTGAAGATGCCTGAGGAATGTATTCGCGCTTGGCTCAAAGTTTGGCAGTCTGTCCCCGATATTCGTCCTGGAGTTTCTCGTGTTTGGTCCTCACTTGTCGAGAAGTTTAGTGGCATTCCGTCAGGGCAGCGATCTCGGCACATACGTGGACCAGTCTCAGCCATTATTAACCTTCTATTGAGTCTTGAATGGGACCCTGTTTCCGCCGCGGATTGGACCAGGCCAGCTGAGCATGCAGGAGGTGAGACTATTGAGCGGCATTTTCCTGATCATGTTTGGGAAGGCTGGCCAGGTGGACGACCCAGGCGGATTGGTGCGTGACATTCAGTTGTCCATATCTCGGAAACTATGGCGCGACGCAGCTCAGCACTATTGTGGAGGAGGCATGGGGGAGGGTGTTGATTGTACCTCGCTCCGCCGCCTTCACGCCCAGTTGTTGAGTTTGGATCGCGGTAGTCGTTTGTCGGAGCTACTTGTCACTATCGCAGCAGGGGCATCGTGGCCTCGGGTTCGTCGGGCCGGGGCTGCAGCATCCAAGGGGGTAGTCATTGATCAGCTTTGCCCGCGCTGCGGGCAGGAGAAGGAATCTCACTTTCATCGTATCTGGGGTTGCTCGCATAACACAGGAGCCCCAACGTATGCCCACTCCGAGTGTCTGGTGCAGGAGGCCTACACCAACTGGGAGTCGGCCGAGTGTTTCTGGCTACGTGGGCTGCTGCCGTCTAGTTGGATTTCTATTCCACAGCCAGACGAGGATGAGTATTGGTTCACGTCGGGGCACTCGGACGAGGAGGACTCAGTCTGGTTGGGCACGGGCACCTGGCAGCAGCCCTTGCATCTCTTTGGCGACGCCAGCGGTGGCAAGTATTCGAGTGATTCGAGGTTTAGACGGGTGGGCTTGGCAGTGTGCGCCGTGTCCTGCTTCGAGCCGCTGGCGGTGCACAGGACAGTCTCGGGGACCCTGACTGGACATCGCCAGTCGGTACCGCGGGGTGAACATCGCGCGCTACTTCTTGCAGCAGAATGTTCGTCTGTCTTTGTTTTGTTCACTACCGACAATCAGAATCTGGCTAACAGGTGGGCCGAATGGTGTTACCTGGAGCCAGAAGGAGTTGACGCGGATCTCTGGCACCGTGTAGGTGCGCAGTTCAGGCAGAGAGACCCATCCTCGTTTGCGGTGTTGTTCGTCAACTCACATCTCGAGGCCTGCGACGTCATGACCCGACGATTCCCTTTGTGGATGATCTTGGGAAGTACTGTTGCAGATGAGCTCGCTCACGCTGCCGCTGCCAGGTGCCAAGTGCCCGAAGACATAGTGTATCGAGTTGTGACGTGGGAAACGAAGGCGCTACTGGTCCGACTGCGTCTTCTCAGGGCCACGATCGACACGCTCGAGCGAGAGAAGGAGCTGCGGGGGCCTGGCCCCGAGAAATATCTGAGCCTCCTCCTGCTCCTCCTCCCGCCCCGTCTGTTGTGCAAATTTTCTCCACCAATCACCGTCTGGCCGAGTGCGGCCGAAGATGCCTCACGTGCTGCTGCTGCCGCCACGATTGCCGCGGGACACGCCCTGTTTCTCGCCTTCCTATATCAATGGCGAGGTCTTTGGGGTGCCGTCTGGGGCTCAGCTGCACATCGTGGGGGGTGGGTGCATGAAACACATACGATGCGTCTGCATGGTGCTCTAAGGCTCTGGTTCTTTTCGAGCTGCGGGTACTTTGCTAGTCAGGTGATCAGAGGCCTGGGACAACCATGTCCCAAGGCTCCGAATTCCAATCGAGCCTAGCGTTTATCCAGAATCGCTAACGGGCAATGGCCCAAGGTTCGGAATCGGGCTGAGCTCGCTCGTCGGGGTTCCTAGGTCTTTCGGATTCGCTTCGCGACTGGTCTCGCTCACTCACTCCTCCTCCTCCTCCTCTTCGTCCTTCTCCTCGTCCTCCTCCTTCCCCCCATCCAACTTCTGGTGGGGGGGGAGGAAGACAGGCCCATCAGACTTTGTAGCGTTCGCCTCCGCGCTGGCCACGGTCCCCATTCGTGGTGGTGCTCCAGCCTCGGTGCTGGCCAGGTTCCTGGTTGTGGTGTTTTGCGCCAGCCATGCTCCCAGCTAGGGTTGTCGCTCTCGCCTGCAAATGGTTGCCACAGTCCCTTCGTGGAGTGGCGATCGACGTCGTAGAGCTGATCTTTCACCTTGGCAGTGGCCACGTTCCTAGCCCAGAGTGGTCTGTGTTGTATCCCATTCCCAATGCCGAGTATTGGTCTCAGGGGCGTCGGTCATCCAGTGTACATTGGCTGGGGCAGTAGCATGCGTGCTTACCGAGTCGATCGCAGACACCTCTCGTGCTGCACCGCACTGGAAAGCCCCCGCGGGAGGTTCAGTGACGACTGTTTTTGTTCAAAGGGGTGTTCGTCGTGCCCGCAGGTACGTGGCGCCGCTGGTGACGCTGTTGCTCGACCAGTGGGCTTCCCTGATCCCAGCCGAGATGGTGCTGGGGCTGGTGGGCGCGCTTGTGACGAGGCTAGCGCGAGCCGAACTGCCCTACCTGCAGCAGGAGCTGATCGTCACCCTCGCGCGGCTGCTCCACAAGGACCTGCCGGGAACCCTCCAGGCGCTCTCCGGCGTGCGCGTGCCTGCCGCTGGCGGCAGAACCACGGCGTGGACCGGTCTGGAGCTGCTGCTCTCCGTGTGGCTCGCGCGGGCCAAGGAGATCCGGGCGAAGCGCGCGCGGAACGTGACGGTCTCCGCCCTCTGCCAGCTGCACCAGCGCTGCGGCCAGGACGCCTCGCTCGCGGGTCTGCGCCCGGGGGGCGGCGAGGGCACGGTGCCGCTGGCCGCGCAGCTCCTCGTCGCCGTCGCGGCCGCGCTGGAGTTCGAGAACGAGCGCTGCAAGAAGCTGCGAGAAGCCGAGGCGGTCAGCCTCGAGGACGAGGACGACGAGGACGACGGCGAGGAGGACGGCGAGGACGACGAGCTCCTCGGCTGCGGCAGCGGGCGTGCGGGAGCTGGGAAGCTGCTGTCGGACTTGGTGGACCTCGAGGATATCGATTCGGACGACGACGACGAGGCTGGAGGCGACACATTCCAAGACTTGGAGCGCGCGGATCCCTTCTCAAAGTTGGACCTCCAGCGCTACGCGGCGGACTATCTGGCCACGAGCGGTGCTGCCGCAGCGGCTGCGCAGCCAGAACTGGCTCAGAGGATGGCCGCAGCCGTCGCGGAGGCGAAGCTGTTCCTCTCGTGACGGGCCTGTGTTCTTGCGTGCGCCGGTCGGTAGAGGCCAGGGGTGCGGAGCGCGAGTGCTCAGCAGAAAAGGCGCTGGCTACTGATTTGGCGTATTTCTTTCCATGCGGCTACTGGCATGTGACGCACAAAACCTTGAAGAATCAGTAAGGGTCATTTTGGTTTCTCAAGAGGCTCGGGGTTATTGAGCCCCTTCTTAGATGTTCTTCTGACGCTCCGAGTGACCTAAGTTTAATCTGGGCCAAGACGGGGGTTCGGTCGTTGGTGAAGGTTTCTTACGGTCAAGGCTCGACTGTATTTGGCTATTGGTGTGCTCTCGTACGCTTGGGCGTGGAGCAAGGTTTGATGTTTCAGTACGTTGAGTCCGCTTGATGCCTTTTCCGACGCAGCTAGGGCCGCCCAAACATCGCCCTTGTGGTGTCCTGACTCGGGGGTGCTTTTGTGGCTGTTTGAATAATGCTGGCAGCGCGTGGGCCCCAAGCAGTAAATAGGTTCTTGCATGCCCGGTGTGCATGGTATGTGGTGCACCAAACATAGGGCACTAGCTCACGACAGTCATTGTTTATCTGATTCATTGTTTTGCCGATCGGCGCGGGTCCTCGCACCTCCCCCTCCCCCCCTGTGGAGCAGATCTTGGCTGTTTTGGGGAGCTCCTGGTTCGAGCAGGCGCAGTCTCACCCACAGGACGCACCGGTGCAAAGAGTTGCACGAAGCAGAGGTCCGCAGCCAGACCCCCCGCCCCTCCCCCCTCCCCCCCCTTCCGCCCAAGGTCGCGCCGCCGAATCGAAAAAACGCTCATGTAGGGCGTTCGCCTTGTACCGTCAACCCCCGTGCACCAGCTGGCAGCACAGCGCACAGGGCACCGGGCGCAGGGCGCATCGGACACCGGGCACCCTCGCCAGCGGGCGCCATGTAGCGTCGGCCGCGGCACCGACCCTCTCTGGGCACCAGCCACCAGTTCCACCAAGCGTACTCCGAGTTTCTTGATAAGCGTCGGGGAGGGCGTCACCCCCGCCGACAGCCCCACATCGACCTCCGTCGCGGGCAGCCACCGCGCGCTGAAGGCGCTCCGACCCCCGTCGCGGCGCGACGACGAGGTGAGGTTGACCCCCGTCGGGGGGGTACCCCCCAACGCTTACGAGGAAACCCAGAGTGCCTCACCACAGGGCATCGGCAGCAGGTCGCCGAGCGCGACTGGCGAGCGAGCACCGACCAGGAGCGGCCGACTTTAACAGGCTCAGGGATCCCAGGGCCCCAGCCATGTAGAGGACCCAGCGCGAGCGGCAACGGAGCACCGACCAGGAAGGGTCGGCCGAGCGTATCCCCACCGCCCATTTCGGATCCCCTGCCCTTGCGAGCTGACGGGAAGCGGAAATGAAGAGACACGTGCAGGGAAACAGAGCGGGGAAGAAAGGTGAACAGAGGTATCTTTGCGAGCAAGGGGGTAGCTTTGGAGAGCCCCTTCGAGCCATCCCTGGGGCCCGCGTGGGGGTGAAGGAAGGAGGATGAGGAGGAGGAGGACGACGACGACGACGAGGAAGAGGATGAATAGGAAGAGAACGACGATGAGGGCAAGGACGAGGACGAGGACGAGAAGGAGGAAGAGGAGGAGGAGGAGGAGGAGAGCAACGAGGACGAGGACTGAGGCCTCAAAGTCACCTCTGGGAGCCCTCGTGAGGCAGGGTTTGGGGGATTTTGGGGTCCCCTTATGGCTCTTTTGGGGGATCTTGGGGCCTCTTGGCTTGGTATCGCTCGGACGTGTGCATTTTTTCTCGGCGGGGACTATCAAGGAGCATCCTGGATCATCCTGCAAACAAGCCGCGCACGAAACCGAACAAAAATACAGGGAATGGACGTCCGAGCGATGGCCAGTTGGGGGTCCCGTGGGAGCCCTGGAGGGCCCCTTAGGGGGCCATTTCGGAGGCCATCGATCAGAGGGGGGCCTGGGGCCCTCGCAATCGCCCCCTGGGGCCCTCTTGGGGCGCTCTTGGAGTGATCTTGGGCGCTCGTGGGGCCGTCTTGGGAGCCTCTGGGGCCCCTCTTGGGCCACTCTTGGGCCATCTTGGGGCTAATTATTTTAAGACCTCAAAAGCGCATCGGAAGCGAAAAGGCGAGACGCCAAACCTCATCGATGCTCCTTGGGTGATTGAAGGAGTTTGGGCGTCTTGGGGGGGATCCTGAGGGGGGGCTCCGACAGCACTTTGAACTGCTTTGGCCCTCGTCGGGCCTCTCGACGTAATGTTGGAAGCTATCTTGAGCCATCGCTGGCTATCTTGAGCCATCTTGGGGGACATCTTGGAGCATCGGAGGCCCTTTTGGAGACACATTGGGTGGGCCATCATGGACGCCAAGACCGATCGCGACCCCCCCAGAAAAGAGTCTCAGAGGGTAGCCCTTTTCGAACGGAAGAGGGTTTTGGAAGAGAGGAGAACGATATCGTCAGACCACCTTTTCCCAACTGGTTATTGTGATTATCAGTGCTCGTCCACCCCTATCTGCATGCTCTTCTCGCTGACCGTGTATTCCCGAGAGCGCGCGCGCGAGTTTGTATTTGTTCTTCGTTTGGGCGGCCATGTTTTGAATTCGCCATCTTGCAGGGATATCTGGTTTGCTTCTGCCGTGGCGAATCGATGGTGTCTTGCCGGTGTTCAGAGAATGTGCTCAATCGTGCGTTAGCAATATGCAGCGCCTTCCATTTCGCTGCCGCAGCTCATTTCAGTTGAGTGCGGGGGCCTTGGACAAGTTTGTGCGTTTATTCCGAGGAATTTTGTAGCCGCGTGCGGCAAGGCCAGGGGGTGGGCTCGTTGTTATGAGGCGACGGAGCGGCGGTGTCTCTACCTTGATTTTCGCTGGGCCTGACCCGACGCCGAGGTTTTCTATTCCCGTGTCCAACCAGCTGTCTCTGAGAGTTGTGCTCAATCGCGCTCATGTGCCAAATGATTGACCACTCTTCAAGCGAGCCTTCAGTTGGCAAATCAGGTTCTGGACTTAGAGGCTTACGCCATTCCGCCCTCTTCAGATAATTATTCCGACGGTAGGACACCACATGAACATCTGCTTAGCTTGCCTGGGGATATCCTCCTGCTCCCTTTCTTCTACCCCCTCCTGCCGCCTCCTGCTCCTATTGCCTGCTCCTCCTGCCTCATCCTCCTGCGCGCTCCCCTTTCTGCCTCCTCCTCCTCCTCCTCTTTCTGCCTCCTCCTCACCCCGTGCCTCCTCTTGCCTCCTCCTTGGGCATCCTGCCTCCTCCTGGGGTCTCCTGGGGCCACCTGGGGCCTCCTGGGGCCTCTTGGGGCCTCCTGGAGCCTTCCGGGTCCTCCCGTGGCCCTCCTCTTCCTCCTGCTTCCTTCTTCTCCTTCTTCTCCTCCTCGCTCTGCCTCCACCTTGGGCTTCCTCCTCATCATCCTCCTCTTCCTTCTCCTCATCTGCCTCCCCCTCCTCCTCTTCGTCCTCCTCGTCCTTCTCCTCCTCCTCCTCCTCCTCCTCCTCCTCCTCCTCCTCCTCGTCCCACCCCCTCCTGCCTCCTCCAGGAGCTTCCTTTCCCGCCTTCTCATGGGGCTTACTGGAGCCTCGTGGGGCCTCCAGGAGCTTTCTCGGGATTCTGGTGTACTTGTTCCTCCTCCTGTCTCAGCCTCCTCCTGCCTCCTCCTCCTCCTCCTCCTCCTCTCCTCCTCCTCCTCCTCCTCCTCCTCCTCCTCCTCCTCCTCCTCCTCCTCTCTCTCCTCCTTCTCCTCCGTCTCCTCCGCCTTCTACTCCCCCTCCTCCCCCTCCTCCTCCTCCTCCTCCTCCTCCTCCTCCTCCTCCTCCTCATGCTCCCACTCCTCATGCTCCCACTCGAGGCGAAGCTCCCGATCGAGACTTCCGCCAGATTCATGACTCGGGAGCCCAAGAGCGTCGACAGTTACGAGCTTTGGATGCCCCGCTCGGACTAGTAACATTGTCTGGTGGGCCCACCAGCAGGGGGGCTCCCGGTCGAGATTGCCTCACAGTTCACTCAGAGACGATGCTCCCGTTCGAAACGTTTTCCAGATTCCTTCGTGAGGAACCCAAGCGTGACGACGGTTGAAGGTTTTGGACGACCAGCTCGGACTGGTAACATGAGTTGGCGGCCACATAGGGAGGAGCCTGCCGCCCAAGACCTCCTCACAATTCATTCAGCGACGAGGCTCCTGGTCGAGCCGTCTTCCAGATTCATGCCCCATGAGCCCAGCAGTTTCGACGGTTACAGATGTTGGATGACCCGCTCGGACTAGTAATATGCTTATGCGGCCCCATAGGAAGGGGGCTCCCGCTCGAGACTTCCTCACGATTCACTCACAGACGAGGCTCCTGCCCGAGACGTCCTCCATAGTCATGCCCCGGGACCCCAAGCGTGACTGCTGTTCCAGGTGAACGCCCGGATTGGTAACATGACCTGGCGGCCCCATGAGGAAGGGGTTCCCGCTCGAGGTCTCCTCGCACACTGCTCAGGGACGAGGCTCCTGCCCGAGCGGTCCTCAAGGGGACGATGTGCGTGTGTGAGCGTGTGAGGACATGTGAGTGTGCTGATGGTGACCGACGATCATGGTGAGTGACGATAGTGTTGAAGATGATGTGCTGGTGGTGATGGGTGTGAAAGGAGAGGAAGAGAGGGTGTGGTTCTTTCCCGCGACAACTGTTCCGACTGTAGGACGCCACGCTCTAATCTCTTCATACAATTTGGGAGTGGACCTCATCGTCGTCCTCGTGAGTGCATGGGCTCTCTGCCCGTCTCCCTTGTCGCCGTGGCGGAGGTCCTCTTCCCGCCCCCTGCTCTTGATCTTTCTTGGGAATTCACTCACCGACGAGCTTCCCGCATGAGACGTCCTACGGTGTGTGCGTGCGATATTGATGAGGAGGCGAAAGTGAGGAAGGTAATGACGAAGGGGTGATGGCCATGGTGATATTGCGATCGTGGTGATGTGGTAGTGATGATGGTGATGGTGGTGATGGTGGCCCGTGCAATGTCGATGGCGGTGACGG